CTTTTTTTTTTTTTTTTCCGGGCTGATCTGCTCTTGACCACTGACCTTATCACATCACCTGGGCTTGCGTCCGGCGCTACTAGGGAAGCTCCAGCCATGACACCCAGACACGGAGTTTCGGTTGCTTAACGTGCTGTAGCATCTGGGGCTAAATTCTTGCTTTTCCCGCAGACCTTGGTGCCTCTCGGGCAGCAGAGCTGTTGCTGCAGCTGCCTGTTGGCATCGCGGTGCCGTCCTTGGGGGCCAGAGAGAAGATGCTCCTTGGTGGTCTTGGCATTTTCCAGGTTTTCCATATAACCTCTGTGCTCTTAAAAGCCTGTCCGAAAGGACTTGCTCTTGCAGAGGTGTCAGGGGGCAGCTCCTGACCCTGCAGGGTCTCGCTTGTAGCTGCCTGGTTGGGCTCACTGGTAATCCTAGCTCGCTAAGAAGCCGGAGTGGCTTTGGCAGTTGCCGTAATTCACGTGGAACATCCTTGTGCTGGTCCTGCTGATGAAGAAGTAAACAAACTAAGGATGGGTAAACTACGTAAAGGTCTGCAAGGATATAATCACTTTGTGTATGGAATGGTGATGTTTTAAAGCCTGGTGATACCCAAGTATGTGTTTAGGGCAATTTTTAGCTAGTGTAAATAGGCTGGGAATAGCTTTAGCTCGCCTGGGCTGGCCATAGCTCGCGGTGTCCCTGCAATAGCAGGGAGGCTGCTGCCAGCAGGCAAACCCGCTGGAGAAACCTGCTCGGAGGTCGGAGCAGCTCCTGCCGAGTTCCCCAGGACCACAGCTATGCGGAGCGTCACCTCGCTTCCGTGTCTCCCAGCTATGGGAAATGCATCCCGGCTAAATACTTGACTAGAGGAAAAAGGGGGTTCTGTGCAGGTTCTCCATAGGAAACAGAAGCACAGCTGTGTTTGATCCCTGCAGAACTCCAAAGGGCACCATGGCTTCACCTCCGTTTTTTAGGACAATGAACAATCAGTGCTCTCTTATCCTTTGCCCATGCCATACATTAAGTTAAAAACTCTCCTCGAATGTAGCTCTCGGTCATCTCGGATGCCTCGCTTTGCTGCACGCCTGGAATCCGCAGCATGAACGTGGAGTGGCCTTGCAGCTTCCTTGTAATCCGCAAATACCCGATAGCATCGGTGACCTTCAGCTTCCTTCGGCTCTCGTGTTCCCTTCGCTGTTGCAAAAGGTGTTTTCTGAGCATCAGCAGGGTGTTAGGGCTTCCAGACTTGCAAGTCGTCATACAGCTTCTTCTTGCAACAGCTTGTTTGCTGTGATAGAAGCTTCTTTTAAAATGATCTTTTTTTCTGTAGTTTTGGATTTAATTCAGTTGTGAGGTGTTGTTTGCTGGGCAAGGCAATTACTCACCTCACTTGCTCACTTCTTGTAGCTCCCATCCCAGAGACCATCTGTGTTGTAGCAAGTAGGTTGTTTCCTTAACTAAAGAAAGTTTGATACCAAAACTTGACTTGAGGACCTGGAGCGCAGCCTTGATGATATATCATTTTTTTCCTGACCAAAGATTTCTTCTTTCAGCTGTGCTTTAGTATTTTCCTTTTCCTGAGATGAAGCTGTCTGTGTTCCTCTATACCTTGCTGTGCCGCAGATGTTCTATGACCTTTTGCCCATCACTTGATCTTCCCCACATCCCCCTTGCCTGCAAAACAAACGTTTTAGGGGTATGTTACAAGGGTGATGAGGGCTTAGGTCATTAAGATTCTACAGGGAAGAAGTGTAGCTTTGAAACCTCAAACTTGTTCTTCTTTTTTTCCCCCCTCATCTGAGCTCAAAATTCTGTAAGAAAATGATAAAAAGTCTAAGCTGTACTTCAGTATAAACTCCAGTGACCTCATGTGTTTTGATGGAATGAGGTGTTAAACGTGTCCAAAGGATGACGTGTCGGGGAGCCTGGGGAGAAGTCGCTGCAGCGCGTTGCGATATTTGAATTGTCAGCAGGGCCTCTCCGGGCAACAGCTGCTGCTGCGCTGTTTGCTGGGGCTTTCTGCATCCTCCTCCCCGATGATTTAAGGGGTCCAACATGTGTTTTTAGTAAAGGGGAACC